TTTTTTTTTTTTTTTTTAGAACAGAATTCTTAAGAGTTTAATGGCAAAGTATGTGTTTTTCATAGGTGTAACAAAAAATTGTCTGGATTAATATTATTCATTATATTGAATTTAAACTTAGATTTACACTTTAAATATATAGGTTCTCAATTTACATGGTGGATTGACCACAAATTTATTTCCTTTCCTGCCTGAAATCTCATTAAAATTAAAGGAATAAAATAAAGGTTACCCATAAGACCAGGAGACAGGATTGACAGCAGATGGTTTTTTTAATAAATGTTATAAGATGAAAAATAGACAAAGGAGTGGTGCCCAGCAAGGGAGCATGACTCTGGTGCCCAGAGAGCGCGCCTGGAACAGCGACAGGCAGGCCAAGGCAGGCCGAGAACTCACAAGGCAGGGCAGCTCAGAGGACAGGGTAAAACAAAACAAAAGCCACCAAAACCAGCTGAAAATCTGTGACTAGAGCCCCCCTTACCCCCATCCACCTGTCTTCCCACCTCATAAGGAATTTAGATGTATATTCCCTGGAGCCATTAAACCCGTGCATTTCCGGGCTCAGAGACACCAGGGCTGAAACTGGAAACGGGAAAAAAACTGCACACTGAAAAGTGGAACTCCATTTCCCCTTCCCAGCTCTGCTTCTGGAAAGCAAGTAGCTACACGCTTCTACTCTCCAAGCAGAAAAAAGGGGTGGGGGGTGGGGGTAGGTCCTTCCTGAAGAAGCTGAACTATCCCAGAGAAAAGACCCTTAGTTAACACACTGAGGTCTCCCAAATGAAAAGCTGGCTGGGTCTCCAAACCCTCACAGTGAAAGCCAGTGGTCAGTTAAGAAAGTCCTGCTCATGCATGGCGCTTCCAACTAGAGAAAGCCACGGACTGCCACACATTCGAGGGAAGACTCCGACCAGAGAGATCAACAGGGGAAAAAACGTCAAAGGAGAGGTGAAAATTCAGGAGCAAATGAAAAAACAAGTTCTCAAAATAAAAATGTTAGTAGAAGGGTTAGAGCATCAAATCAGACTCTCCAGAAGTTGAACAAAAAGACAAACTGGAAAATAGGAGGGAGAAAAAATTAAAGAGCAATGCAAAAATACTCTTCAGGCTCAACATGTGAATAAAAGTATCCAAAAAAGAAGCAAGGAAACCCTCTAAAGGAGATGGTCTGTGAGGAGACTTCAATGGCCCCAATATAAAGAAAAGGTCCACAACCAATCACAGTATGAAATTTCACAATTCCAGGGACAGAGAAGGTATTAACTAAAAAGCTCCCAGAGAAGTCAGAATGGCGGGGGGGGGGTGATGGTGTGAAGTGAACGGCCATGTCTGAGCAAGGGGTGATTATCTCCTACGGGGGGGTGAGGGGAATGACTAAAATTGATTCCGTACAACGTACCACACAATGCCAACAGATTCAAGAACACTATAATGAGAACACAATAGAGAAATGTCTTCAGAACCATGAAATTTAGTTTCAGCCTAAAATTGTATTTTCTATCAAATGGGCAGGGGCAGGTTCCAACAGGCTAGGTCTTTGAAAAAGCTTCTATGTGCCCTTTCCCAGGAAGATGTGCCCCAGTAAAAGGAGGTAGTACAATAAAACAGAAGGAAACACAGAAGCCCGGACACCGGGACCCAACACAAGGGAGCGGTTATGCGAGATCTCAGATGAAGCCAAGAGATATCCCAGGAAAACAGGCACAGAGCAGGCCCAGGGAAAACTAGTGTACACTGGAGTAGGATGACAAAAGGCTGAGGGAAGTTGTCTTCAAGAGAAAAATGGAACACATGTGTTTTAGTAGGTGGAAAATATTTTTGACAGGCATGTGACAAATGTTACAACATTTAGGGAGAAAAATAGCTGTTAGAAAACAGGCAAATGAATGCAGTCAGGAAATTAATTCCACACACACACACAAAAACGAAGGATGTGAAAGCAGGAGACCAGCCAGCAGCTACTTACTGCATTTGGCTGTGTGAGCTATTATTGGCTGGGAAAAGGGGATTATCTGGGAGAAGTGCAAAAATGCTCAGATTTCAGAAATGCTTAAGAGAAAGAATGAAGGGTGTACAGGAAGAGGCACACTAAGAAAACTCAATGACTCAGCAGTGAACGGTATTTGCATAGTTACAATAATGTAAATATTGATTACTGATTAATAAAAAAAAAGTCAATGAAATGAAGGGAGAAAACAAGGGTCACAGGGGAGTGAGGAAGCTCAGTTTTTACCTGCTGTGACAGGAAGTCACTGGATCATGTTAAAAATTCATTTAGCTGGCTCGGTGCCTATAGCTCAACCGGCTAAGGCGCCAGCCACATACACCTAAGGTGGCGGGTTCGAATCCCCAGCCCGGACCCGCCAAACAACAATGACGGCTGCAACCAAAAAATAGCCGGGAGTTGTGGCGGGCGCCTGTGGTCCCAGCTACTTGGGAGGCGGAGGCAAGAGACTCGCTTGAGCCCAGGAGTTGGAGGTTGCTGTGAGCTGTAATGCCACGGCACTCTACCCAGGGGGACAGCTTGAGGCTCCGTCTCAAAAAAAAAAAAAAATTCATTTAGCTATTACCACTGTTACTTTGATGAAAAAAGAAGATAATTTCACAGTAGAAATTTTTAAAAAATAAGATAAGAAAATTCAGGCAAAAGTACTTAAGACAGATCTTTATAACACAATCTAGTTAATCAAAATTTCACTTACATGTCAGAAACCCTTAAAAAATGGGCACTACTAAGCCAAAGACTTTCCTGTACACACATAAATTTGATATTTAAAGAAATAAGAAAAGATTCACAAAGAAAGGCCCATGCTGACACCATTATACCTTTACGGAATCATAACAGACATACTTTCAATTCAAACGAGTAACGTCTTAACTTTGCAACTGTTTACTTACATGGTTTAAATGGTTGCTCTTCCTCTTTTCTCGCACTAAGAATAAAAAAAATTAACTGATCAATTCTGATACAAATACCATAGAATAAAAGTAGCTTAATTGTCTGATGAATTACCAACATACAAATGAGCTTAAATTCCATTCTATTTTTAAAAATAATTTCCAACAAAGCTTATACCAGCGGTTCTCAACCTGTGGGTCACAACCCCTTTGTAACAATGAAAATACATCCTGCATATCAGATATATACGATTCAAAACAGTAGCAAAATTACAGTTATGAAGTAGCAACGAAAATAATTTTATGGTTGGGGGTCACCACAACATGAGGAACTGTATTAAAGGGTCATGGCATTAGGAAGGTTGAGAACCACTGACTTATACTATAAATTATTTGACAAGATGAATCTCATAAAGTAAAATCTAAAAACTTAGCTTTACTTTTTGGCCTAACAGATATTCCATTACACACACATGAAAGACCCCACGTACAAGAGAAAAGGACAAAACAAATCAGGCCCATGAGAAATTTAGCTAATAAAGAGTTTACCAGTTGCATATCTGGGCCACTACCTAGTAGCATTTCCTAAGTCTACATTTACACATGGCTTATGTTAATTACCTAGATCTAATGGCTGAGAGCTCTAAGAACCAGTTTCTAGCCAGGAACCCATCCCTGGATGTACCTGAGTCTCTGGAAACATCCTGAACTAGTGACTGGGAATCTACTAATACGTCACTGAAAAAAAATAAATGAATCTTCACTTAACTGGAAAACAACCTATTTTAAATTTAAATTTTAAAGCGAGTGTGCCAAGCTAATTGTGCACAGTATCACAGTACACAAAATAACTTGCTTCTAACAAAGGCCATGAGAGTAGAGGATCCAAGAGGGACTTGGCCTGCACTTTGTTCCCCACGCTGCCTCCTCCTTTGATGCTGGACAGCACTGTAGGCACACATTCCTTCCCACTGAAGAAAGAGACATAGCAGAGCTTTTATTTTCCACACGTCTATGTGTGTGAAGCCCATGGCTCTGGGAGAAACTGTGAAATACAGCAATCCTAACCAGAAATGACTGGCTCAAGACAGGCAAAATACAAACTATGAAAATGTAGGTTAGGCACCCTCATTCCTTCATTTCTGAAGGATGGCAAAAAAAAAAAAATAATAAATAAAAGATACCCTCATTTTTTATTATGCTGTATTACTTCAAACATTATAAAACCCACACTTCTTATATTCTTGCTGTTGAGATCAACAGAAAAACCTGGTTGTGTGCAGCTTTTCAGCAATTAGAGTAGGATTTACCATAACATTAAGGAAAATAAGGAGTGCAGAAAAATCCAGCAGTTCTGATTCTCATCCTAAGACCGACATGACATAGCAACTTTGCACTAGTTTCACTCGCTGAGGCTAACCTTCTCAGAACCACCACAGGGGTGTTTACATTTACATCACATTAGGACCAAAGGTTCTGTCCAGCTTAGTGCTCTGAGCAGCATAAATCTGGATGTGGCAGGCTCATTTGGTTAGATTACTGTGTTAAAGGAGGCCAAGATCACCGTTTCAAGCCCCATGTGTGAACAACTGAGTTGTCTGATTTGTTCAAATGAAAACATTAACTGAAGTCTAAATTCTATCATTCATCTTTAAAATGTGTTCTTTGGAGCAGAGGAAAGAGGGCAAAGAAGTAGGGAGAAATAGGGATAAATCCCAGACCATTTCTAAATCAGGTGGCCAATTAAGTGCGCTGAGAAAGAGGCAAAACATGGCAACCGAAAGTCTCCATGTTCTTACTAAACCAGTGACACTAAAAGAAAGTACATTGCATCTGAAAATAAGACAAGTGAATATATAAAAAGTTGAAAAATTGAAACTATGACTTCTTCTATAATACATCCCATAAGACAGAAATAGTTTTCAGTCTTTTCCTTGGAGGAAAAAAAATATTGTCTTACCATCTGTTTGAGATTTGCTCAGGAAAATTGTGCTTGCCCGTGGATGGTCAGAGGGATTCGATTCCAAAGCTAACTCTATAGAAGAGAAAAAAGATGTGATAATTTAGGTGAGTAGAAAAGATAATTTTTTTAATAGCTACATATTGATAGGCACATTGACTCACACCAGAATCCCAGCACTTTGGGAGGCAAATACAGGCAAGTTCTTAATAATAAATATGAAGGAAATATAAAAGCAACAATATAAAAAGTCTGTTGGGGAATGTACAATCATCAAATCTCTCCATACATGGAAGCTAAAACCAGGTTACGTCCATAACTTCTTTTTGTAACTTGTACCTAAATAATCTGATGCAACTTTCAGATGAATCACATCAAGTAGAAATACCATCCCCCTTTTCTATGCTGACAAGACCAGCACATTTCAGGAATAGTCTCAAGCAGCAACTGATGCTGTGGCCAATTACTGTCAGACACCAGCTCAATAAATCAAATACGCTAAAACAAAGAGGGCTGTTTTTGGCAAGCATTCTTTAGATAATCAAATGGCTAATTCTAACTCCGTGCAACAAGTGAACTCATTTAGTTAGCTGTGGTTTATCTGCGGGTTATTCATCATAGTAAACTTAAGAGAACTACATAAAAAGTTCAATGTTCTAATCTATAAGAACACTTTCATGATAGAAAGTCATTTTTATCTTTTGCCCTCAATTTCCAAAGCTAAACTCTCACATCTTCCACTAGCAGGATTAATTTGGCTTCATCACAATTATCTTCTAAAGCAGGTCATAGGGCTGCTACTAAAAAATTTGGGTCCCACCTATGTCACGGATGATCTAGGTCTGCCTGCAGTCCACCTTACCCCAAAGTGGGATAAGCTCCTATTGCGGCCAGACTACAAAACAGAGTCTTGAATTTCATAAAACAAACTTTGCCATCATATAGGATAATAAAAGTTGTCATAAGGAGAAAAAATAAAAACCTATGACACTCCTCAGCAATGTCCATCTCAACCTACTTGTATTAACTAATCTTGTCTGAAACCAAAGACCCAGACAGAGTAATAGTTAAGGCAGTATTTCCCAAACCTCATATTAATAATAGTTCTACTTTTTAAAGGGGGGGGGGTGTTAGTGGACAAATCACAATACATTATATCCATGGCTCTTAAAGAACCAATATTAAAAACTTATCAGTCTAGTAGTGAGTACTGTTCTAACTCAGCATTTCACAAATCTATCTACCTAGAAACCTGTGTTCCCTCCAAGTAATATGGTTTGAATCTTGCATTAACAGACCCAGTTTGGGACTTCCTGGTTTAAGAGGAATCTGAATCATCCATTTTAATGGTGCTGCCAGATCACTAGAAACTTATATAGCTAAACCAATTGCTGTGTTCTCCACAGAAATCCCTTTACTGACGTGAACTGTATTAAATTGCCTTTGGAGAAAACTATTCTTATGTAAAAGACCCAAAAATTATTTTAAAGGTTTTCCCCCCACATCTTTGAAAAGATGAGACAATGTAACCTTATTTGGAAAAATAAAGTCATTTGAGCACAAAATGACAAGTAGAGACTTTTATCACTGTCTCTAACTTAAAGCTTCTAAAAGCTCCTACCAAAAAGAAAGCAAACATACTACCATTGAATTTTAAAAATGAGAAGAAATGTTTACAGAAGAAGCCATATTAGGTGCCTATGTAATAATGAAGTTTAACTAAGAATTTTCAGTGGAAGTCAGGGAAAATTAAGTTCCAGAATCAAAGAGGAGTAGGTTTACACATACACATATACAATCTCAAAAATGTTATCTTTAACTATGTATTAAAATACAAAGATCAAGAAGGCTATAATAAAAGAAATGACAACATGCAAGAAAAAAATGACATGAGCGCAAGTGACAAGCTGGCAGTCCCCCTTCCCTGAGGTTTTAGGGTAGGCCCATGGACCAGGACTATCCAGTCACAGCTCTCTGGGGACCTCCTAAGAACCAGAGGAGAGAAGCAGAGCTGTACTCTGGGGTGCCAGGTAGTCAGGAGCTGCCAGTGGCCCCACAAACATGCACAGATAGAGACTTAGGGAAATGTTTAGAAAATAAAAACATTACCAAGTACCATTTATCTTATATGTGAACACCTTTAAAAACATTTTTTTAAACTCTTAAGAATGCTTGAAACTAGAAATATTTTTGATCTCATGATCAGGGAGCACGATTAAAGTTGTATTTTAAGACCCACTAGTTTTGTATTATTAATTTAAATTGCAAATTCATTTGACAGCATGACAGGATGGTCAAGGGAAAAGTATGACTTAAACACACATTAAACTCAACTCTAAATGTAAACATCCCAGAGGAGGAAATCTGTAAGATACCCCTGACATCAAATACTAATCTAAGATTCTATTAGTTATAAGACCCCTCTCAACTACACAGATGTTAATATGTGAAAATATATGCAACTTATAATAAATAAAATGCATTAATAAAGCTAGAAGTTAAAATTATGCAATTTAAACTGTCAAGAAACAATTTTCCTTGTTAAAATATTAAAGGAAGAGGGCAGTGACAGAAACTAATAGAAGCAGCACATTTCAGAGAAAGAAGCTGATTTCAACATATTGATTTCAATATATTCCGATTAAACAGAAGTTGCTGGCAGTCTCTGGGCCAATTGCTGGGCATCTGTTTATTTAAAGGCTTCCTATATTTACTGACCTGCTCTATCATCTATACTGTGCATTGTATTAGTTTTATGTTCCATAACACGAACCTTTTAAGTCTCAATTCCAGTGTAAAATCTGGTGATTTTTGTCTCAGTCCACACTCTTACCTAGTGGCCTCGAGCTGGCCTGCCCCTTCAGAGGGCACACTGCCATAGTACTGCTCAGCCTGCTCTGTTCCTGCTTTCCCAGCCTCCAACAACCCTGACCCTGGCTTCCAAACCACTTCTCTCCCAGCCTATCCCTCAGTTCTCAGTCTCCTTACCTGTTTCAATCCCCAACCTGTGTTTAGTGACTGTGACTGACATTTCATGTACTGTATAGCACACCCTTCTCCCTTTACATGTTTCTTAATAGTGCTTAACTCCATTTTTTAGACTTTTAAGAACGCTTCTGGATTACAAGTACCTCCACTGCATTTATTATCCAATGTTACTGTTTTAACTCTATAAAGCTTAATTACTTTAATACATTAAAAAAAGCCGAGGAAAAAAGGTAGTATCCAAAGCAGCCCATACTAAGTCATTCCATAAATTCTGTTCATATATGCCATATATCTGGAATTTACATTCTTGATCTACCAAGTCTTATTTTTTAAAACTACAGAAACCCGATTTATCCTTCTCAGAGCCTGTCTTCTCATACGTAAAATAGGTATAATCCCTACACGATCTAACTCAAAGCATTGTAAGGATCGAAAGAAATGCAAGAGCAATCTGTATACTACATAATGCACAATAAATTACAAAACAAAAAACCTTCCACTAATTCAAAAGCAAAAAGCAAACATTTAACATTCATTGGAAAACCCATACCAAAATAGTATCTTGGGCAAACATACCCTTTGACTACCCACTAAAGTTAAGGGGAAAACAGTCACACAAAATCAAAACTACTTTCTCATGTTCTTTTTTAAAAAATAAGCACATACAATTCTCCCTGCTGTCTTTCACACAGATTACTGTCTGTTCTCCTCCTTGCTTTTTTCATGCAGAGATCTCATTCTTTTTGACAGCTCTATATTTCTCCTCGATATAGACATACCAGTTTATTTTACTAGTCCCTTATTGACATTGTCAATATTTTGCTATTGAAAATAATACAAGATGGCCAGACGCAGTGGCTCATGCCTGTAATCCTAGCACACTCAGAGGCTGAGGTGGGTGAACTGCCTGAGCTCAGGAGTTCAAGACCAACCTGAGTAAGAGTGAGACCCATCTCCAAACATAGTCGGGTGTTGTGGTGGGCGTCTGTAGTCCCAGCTACTCAGGAGGTTGATCCTTAAGAGGATCACTTGAGTCCAAGAGTTTGAGGTTGCTGTGAGCTATGACACCACAGCACTCTACCCAGGAGGCAGAGTAAAACTATCTCAAAAAAAAAAAAAAAAAGAGAGAGAGAGAGAAAGAAAGAAAATAATACAAGCCAGACTCCTAGCACTTTGGGAGGCTAAAGTGGGAGGATCACTTGAGGCCAAGAGTTTGAGACTAGCCTAGACAACAAAGAGTGACCCCATCTCTATAAAAAAAAGTTTTTAAAATTAGCCAGGAGTCATTGCCTGTAGTCCTCGCAACTTGGGAGGCTGAGACAGGAAGATCACTTGAACCTAGGCATTGGAAGTTGTAGTGAACTGTGACTGACCCACTGAACTACACCTGGGTGACAAAGTGAGAAGCTGTGAAAAGAAAGGAGGCAAGAGAGAGAAAAGCAAAGCAACAGAAGCTTTGTGCATATTTTTGGATATTTGTGGGATATACCTGCAGGATAAATTTCTCAAAGTAGAATTTCTAGATTAAATGCATTTGCAATGTTGTGAGATTCTGTCAAATTCCCCTTCATGGAGTTGGACTATTTTGCATTTCCACCAACAATATATGAATGTAACTTTCTTCACAGCCACACCAAAGACTGCATTGTCAAGTTTCTGGATTTTCTCCCAATAGGAGAGAAACTGCAGTCTGGTTTTAATTTGCCTTTCTCTTATGTGTGAAGATATGTTTAAGGATCATCTGCATTTCTTCTTCTGTGACTTGTCTATTCATAACTTTGTCTACATTTAGATTCACTTAATTTCTTCAAGTCAGTCTATTTTAGGTCCTTATTCTTTCTTTGTTCCCTGCTGGCTCTCACCTGAATATTCCATCCTCCTCCTCACTGGTCTCCCTGCTCCCACCCTTGCTTGCTAATAGTGTGTTCTTACACAGCAGCTAGTCTGATCTTCTGAAGAACTGACATCATTCTGAGGCTACATGTCCTCCAGTGGTTTCTCATCACAAGTCAAGTCTTCATTCTCTGTGAAGGCCCACTATGTAGACAAGGCCTCCTGGCATCCTTTTCACTGTGCTGCAGCCACTCTTGTTTCTTTCAAGGAACTCCCACGGAGCTGTCCCCTTGTATGGAAGCGTCAATGTGCATGCACACCCACCCACCCCACACCATCCACCCCCCATTCATACATGACTCTTACATTAAGGACTAATCAAAAGTCACATAAGAAGGCCAGCCATGGTGGCTCACGCCTGTAATCTTTGTGCTCTGGGAAGCTGAAGGCAGTGGATTGCTTAAGTTCAGGAGTTGGAAACCAGCCTGAGCAAGCGTGAGACTCCATCTCTACCAAAAATAGAAAAATTAGCCAGGACTTGTGGCAGACACATGTAGTCCCAGCTGCTTAGAGGGCTGAGGCAAGAAGATCAGTTGAGCCCAGGAGTTTGAGGTTGCTGTGAGATATGACACCATTGCACTCTACCCAGGGCGACAGAGTAAGACTGTCTAACACACACACACACACACACACACACACACGTCACATAAAGAGAGTAGTCATCTTACATACACTTGCCCCTAAAACTACCCTCCTTCCCAACTCATCACCCTATTTTACCTTCTTCACAGCACCTCCCTATCTGACATGTGTTATTTACCCCTAGCTCCTTCTAGGATCAGAGTTAGGTTGGAGGCCTTGTTGTTTACGCCACTACTTGCCCTGGACATTAGATAAGTTACAAAGAACCACAAAATATATCATCCAAGTTCTACAGGAAGGTATAACACATCAAAATGTTTTTATCTGTTCCCAGAAACAAACATAATGAAACAGTGTATAATTTTACTATAAAAGATGTCCAATCATAAAGGGTAAGTCAATAATGACTCTCCAACGATTCAGTAGTATGCTAAGCAGTTCTGAAAAGGCATGAGGGAGAGCAGGGTGCCTGGAAAGACATCTTGCAGTGCTAAGTGTCAACCACTGTTTCAGGAACTTACATCACTGCTTTAAGTTACAAAGCAGAATATATAATCTCCATTTTTGTAAAATAAACAAAATAATATATTCATGTGCATACAAAAGGTTCAGGAAGAATCAATACCAAAATATTAATAAGAGCTCTTGGTATTCTGAATATAATGAATGGCTTTTCTGTATTTTCTAAACTTTTTTACAGCAACACATTGATACTGTTATTTTAAAAAAGCCAAAGGGAAAAAAAAAAGGATTTAAAATAGCTACTGGAAAGAGGAAAGATCTGTTGCTCAGAGGTTTTTCCACATCATAGGCCCAATCTCTTCCCGCCCTCACCCCTGGGGGTGGGAGGGAGGAAGGAGTCACTTGAGAGAGCACCTTAAGCCAGTAAATCAGCAAAGCTCCTGAAGTCAGGACATAAACGGCTGTGTGAAAGTTGGCCAGTAATAATAAAATTGAATAGTAAGATCTTAGTATCTCACTTTCTGTTACTAACACTACCATCAGTTATATTAGATACATTGTTCAATGACATTGACAGTGAGACTGTCATTATATTACAGATACATTGTTCAATGTATCTAATATACATTGTTGTATGTATACATTGTTCAACATATCTAATATACAACCTTTCTCAAGGTGGTAGAAAATACTTCTATCTGAAATTTGTACTAGGTTCTTAGGAACATCTCTTTGCAATGGTTTGAGAAAACCTTCTGAAGTGTTTCAGAGAAGAACAAAGCAGAGCATCATTTGTTTGATTTTGTCTAAGTAACCAAAATAATTCAATTCTTCATTGTAGAAAAGCTAAAATGTTTTAGATCTAAGTAGGAATTTCTCAGTTTCCAGGGAAACTGATATAAAATTGTCTGAAATAGAGATATTAAAAGCAAACTTTCAATGTGTCTATACTTTATATTTGGTGCTCTGTGTTTCTATGGAAACTTAAGGATAACAGGCAAACACTAAAATTGAAGTTTCTCTTAATCAAATCCTCAAATTTTACTGAATGCCACAAAATTATAATAAATTTTAAGAGATGAATTGAAATGAAAATTTAACCCTCCTGCTAACAAAACATAAAATGGTAAATGTCATGTTCAAGAATTATTTTTTTCAAGGTTTCTGATTTAACATTTATTATTGCCCTATGTTTAACATCTGGTACCCTATTTGCCCTCTTGTCTGCTTCTACTAATATTCCTCTGTCCAGTGCATTCTCGGCTTCAATTCACAGTTACCAGAACAAACTCTTTAAAATGAATTCACCATTTATTTGACTGGTAAATTTAGGCCATGGTGTTACCTCTACTTTTATCCTTATCTATTGAAATGATTGTATAGACATAAGAGGCAGCCAGACAAGGTGGCCTGGGTCTGTAGTCCCAGCTACTTTGGTGGCTGAAGTGGGAGCTTGAGTCCAGGCCAGGAGTTCAAGGCCAACCGGGCAACAGAGAGACACCTCCTTCCCCGGCCCGCACTTCCCACCTTTAAAAAAATAAAGGATGGAAGGGCAAATGTTGTCTCTGAGTTGTATAAAATAAGCTTTGAACAGAGCTAGTCAAGATGAGAGTTAAGTTCTTTGAGACTAATCTACTTTATGGGTAAAACATAAGATACAGTCCTCAGTTTTTTAATTTTTTAAGAACACTATTAGGGTATTTACTATCTCCATATCAATACAAGGATTTAGAATCTTAATTCTGTTCAGTATCTGTCTTATATAGTTACTTCTTATCTCTAAGTCTTTGTTTCTTCATCAGCAATATAGGGAGAATATCCACAGCCTTATTTGCACTTGGAACAGCCAACGGAGATATACGTGTACTGCCAATCTTAAAGAATGATATGAAGACCCTATTTGAGGCTGTCTCCAACATTAACTGGTTTGTAACATCACTCAGAGGCTTACCCTACACCATCAAGCCGGGCAGAAGTTTTCCCAAGTACTTACATGCTTTGTGTATGTGTACAAAGGTACAATCAATTCACATAATATACATATTTACTCATTCTTTTACAATTTTTGAACATTCTGAAGAGTACAGTATTTCTCTTTTTAGAAAGGTACATCCACCATGAGGCTTAACTATTCTAGCTTTTAAATAAATTAAGAGCCCAACCAAAGTTTAAAGAGAAGAACTGTAAGACACGTCCTCTGTAGCAATGAAACCACTGGCATTTAAATCAAATGAGACAACTGCATTTAAACATCTTTATGATACAGTGTTTTCTACTTCAAAGGACTTAGTTTTACTTAAAGAACCACCTTGCTACCCTGATTTATTTTCACCTAGATTCATCCCGTTCCAAAATTCTATAAGTTAAAATCAAATTTCCTCTCTTCTCCAGGTCCCATCCACTCCCTCTCCGACAGTGGTTTGGAGTCTGAAGAACTTTTACCTCAACACTCTTTATCTTCCAACAGGATTCTATTTGGGAGGCGGGAGTAGCCACAGAAACTAACAGTCTTGGGCAGGCAGGGTCTGGCATTTTAACTCTGGAAACTTTACATTACAAATTAACTTTATGGGTCATCTCTTCTGAACTACTGACCACGAACCACTCTTACGTGTCCTTTAAAGCAGGTAAAGTAAGTCTGTTAAGTCACTGGAGTAGGGCTGAAAGTATAGATCTGTGTCAAAGTGAGAATTTTTAAAGTAATCAGAACTCGGTGGATAAACCACTTTGGGTTAAAAAAAAAAATCTGCAGCCCTGGCAGTAACATTTCACACCTTCCACAGTTATTTTAGGCACCTCCTCCCAATCTTCTTTGCGTTCAATCATAGCTGGAAGGAATAAAGCAGCTTCGATCAAGGTGACGTAAAACAGCCTAGGAAGAATACCATATAGACTCTTCTATGGCAGGCAGCTTCTGTTTTGAATTTAAACAAGAAATCCTCAAACATTTGGGTATGAATTATCCGAGTGTCAGCTACCTTAATGAGTTGGAGGAAGGAGAATAATCAGGCCCCTGCCTGACTCCTTCACTAAGGTACCATCTGGATAGCTGAGGGTAGAAATGGGATGGGGGCTCAGAAGTTGGGGTATTTGCGTTTTCATTGAGATGAGAGACAGAATATTATCAAAAAAGTCTTTGTCAAGTCTTAGGGGACAATGAATAGGGCTACAAACAAGAAGGGCCGTGGACCAGACGGTCCCAAGCGGGGCTAGGGGAATAAGAAAAGAGGGTAAGAACTGGGCGTTTGGGTAGGGAGGAGAGAAAGTGGCCGGACGCGTTGGGGAAAGAATAAGGGGTGGGGACTCGAGGCAGAGCCAGCCTGAGTGAGTCCCGGTGCCCCGGGAAAGCCGGCTCGGGGCAGGAAGGAGCCAGAGACAGCGGATGCTGCCGGGGGACCCTGGGGACGGCGAAGACGCCCGCTGCTTCCTTACCTGCAGGCATTTCCCGGTCGCTGATGTGCTGCAGGTGGTGGCCCTCGCCGGCCCCGAAATCTAACTCGGCGGGCTCCACGGCAGCGGGCGCCGGCTCTACCGCCACCGCGTCCCCGGCCACCGCCTCGTAGATCTCAGACTCGTAGTCTGGCTCCGCCGTCCCGGTGCGCCGGCCCAGCTTGGGGCTGGCATTGGGGGACACGCAGCAGCTCAGCGTGGTCCCCATGGGGCGCCTCCGCTTTCCGCGCTGCTGCTTGCTGCCTGCGCCCTGGCTCGCCCCCGACTCCGCCGCGCTCCTCAGCCGCCCCCTCCCCCAACAATGGCGCGGCCGGCACGGGCAGCCCCGGGCTACGCCGGGCTGTGCCGGGGCTGCACCGCGCTAGCGCTCGCGGCCTCGCCCGCTGATCGCCCGCCCGCCCCGCCGCCCTGCCCCGGGCAGGGCTCCGGCCTCGGCCGCACCCCCGCTGCCGCGCCGCCGCCGCCTCCCCCGAGTTGACTTGTGCGCGAGGGCGGCGACCAGCCGGGCTTATTTAAAAGGGGTGGAGACCCAACAAGCGCTAAGAGTCACAGCCACTGCCGGGAGAGAGCGCGGTCACGGCTCCTCCTCCTTCCGCCGCCGCCTCCTAACTGAAGGATGCTCGCCTTGACCCGCACTTGCCAACCGGAATGTATCCTGCGGTCACCTGGTTACAAGTAGCCAATCACGTCCAGAATTCTCTCCAGACGCCCGCCTCAGGGCCCGGGCACGTGACCCAAATGCCCCGCCCAGCCCCGCCCTTGCCCCGCCCTTCCCACGGTGAGTACCGGACTCCCGGATTTCATTCATAGCTGGCTGCCGGGATCTTTCGGGTCCTGAGGTGAGTGCTGTCGGCTTTTGTCTCTGGAAGCCGTTCTCGTCCTGAGCTTTATAGAAAACCCCTGTTAGTAAGGAGCGGGTTCCATTAGCAACTCGATTTTTCCAAGTCTGACAGCTTCCATTTGCTCACCAAACTTAGTTACACCCAAAATGTTGACTGTTATTGTAACTAAATGCTTCTCCTTTCTTCCAATGAGTTTTAGTTTTCACCTGCAACTTGACTGTAGCAACCTGCCCCTTCCCGGGGCCCTGGTCCTACTCCCAGAAAAGATTGTGGATGTATGTCTTGTGAGACTCGAGGACGTGTCTTCCCTCCACTTACATGTCTGTAAAATTAGGAACCCAACTCGTCCCTCCAGCTCTGAAACACTGGGCTCACCCACTCCCTTTTCTCACCTTGCTTCCTTCCACCACAGACTTTCCCCATCTTCCTTCTTTTAGTGACAGCAATACATAAAGCGCGATTTTCCCATATGAAATTAAGAACCACACAGTGAAGTAGCACAGTCCTGGTTCGGTGAAGGTAAATAGTTAACATTTGGCAATCACAGTATTAGTGCCTGATACTGCTCTAACAGTGTTATGCTCATTTAACCCTCCAAAACAGTCCCACTTTACATTTTACAGATTTTACAGGACAAATTGAGACGCAGAAGTTAAGTACCTTCCCCAAGGTCACGTGACTACTCAGGTTGGGGGTGGGGCTTAGGATTTGATCCCAAGCAGTCTGGATTCCCACCCTTATTCTAATTATCAGAAAATAAAGGTAGAAGTCAAGCTTGGAGAAGGGGTATGACACTGTAGATTAGCATAATTTTTAAAAGAAAAAGTCTTTTTATGTGGATTTTATTTTTTATTTATTTGTTGTTGTTGTTTTTGCCCGGCTAGCTCAGTCGGTAGAGCATGAGACTCTTTTTTTTTTTTTTTTTTATAAGAGTTGTGAACTTTAACTTTAACTTT